GCCGGGCCCTCTCATCTCTGCATTTCCATCCCAGGAGGCCTCACTGCTTCAGTCCATTTCATTAACTCGCCTGTCTGCAGAGAAGCTTGTCCTGCAAGGGGGAGGGGCTGGAATGACTGAGTCGCTGCCTGAGAAGCGGTTGCCGGGCGTCTGCTTGTTACTGTCCTCAAGCGATGTGAGGCTGGAAGCCACGAGAGGCCCCTCTGTCCCAATACAGTCTTAGAACACGGAAGGGAGCAGCCTGAAGTCAGCCAGCCGGTGACCGCCTGGTGTGACCTGTGCTTATTTAACTGTCCCCGGACCACAGCGTTTCAGGGAAGTTCCTGCGCCCCCTCCCTCCAGCCAACTTCCAGCTTTAAAGAGTTTCTTTCCTGTTTTTTTTTTTTTTTTTTGAGTTTTGTAACTATTTTTGTGCCAAGAACCTCTATGCCGAGCGGTTCCGACAACCCCTAAGGACACAACCATGACCACCTTTCTCCTCTCCAGGAAGCCGGGCCAGCAGGTACCCACCAGCAGGCACTGCATCCACGTTTATTCTTGGAATGAGGGCGTCAGTGACGACAGCTGGCAGGCAGCACTCCGGAACACGGGTGGCATTACAGGCACAGGAGGAAGCAGAAAGTCTCACTGCGTAGGCGACGTTCTGTGCTGGCCTGGGAGTCCCCTTCCCCGTGGACAGAGAAGACAAGCATGGGTTCTAGTCTGGCCCAGCAGTCGGGATGCGGCTGTGTCCAGGTCAGGCTCAGGTCCTTCTTAGCTCATTTCTCCTCCGTCTGCTCATTGTCCAGCCTCGCTGCCTGGCTGCGTGCCTTCCACTCAGTCGCCTTTCGGTTCTCCTCCTGAGGCGAGTCAGTGCCTCACCTCCCAGGGGGAAGTGTCAAGGGCTCCCCATTGCCCACACAGCTAAGTCCAAACATGGGTTGCCATTCGAAGCCCACCACCATATATCGGGTCATGAGAACCTCCAGCCAACTTCCAGCTTTAAAGAGTTTCTTTCCTGTTTTTGTTTTTTTTTTTTGAGTGTTTTAACTATTTTTGTGCCAAGAACCTCTACGCCGAGCGGTTCCGACAACCCCTAAGGACACAACCATGACCACCTTTCTCCTCTCCAGGAAGCCGGGCCAGCAGGTACCCACCAGCAGGCACTGCATCCACGTTTATTCTTGGAATGAGGGCGTCAGTGACGACAGCTGGCAGGCAGCACTCCGGAACACGGGTGGCATTACAGGCACAGGAGGAAGCAGAAAGTCTCACTGCGTAGGCGACGTTCTGTGCTGGCCTGGGAGTCCCCTTCCCCGTGGACAGAGAAGACAAGCATGGGTTCTAGTCTGGCCCAGCAGTCGGGATGCGGCTGTGTCCAGGTCAGGCTCAGGTCCTTCTTAGCTCATTTCTCCTCCGTCTGCTCATTGTCCAGCCTCGCTGCCTGGCTGCGTGCCTTCCACTCAGTCGCCTTTCGGTTCTCCTCCTGAGGCGAGTCAGTGCCTCACCTCCCAGGGGGAAGTGTCAAGGGCTCCCCATTGCCCACACAGCTAAGTCCAAACATGGGTTGCCATTCGAAGCCCACCACCATATATCGGGTCATGAGAAAAGTCATGATGTGTTTTTCTATGCAAAATGCGTCCCGACTTTTCTGAGGACCCAGTGGTTCCACCCTACATTCCTGTCTGCGGGGCAGACTTCAGAAAACTCCCCTGCCTATTCCTCCCCGCCCCCACTGTCCCCTCGGCTTCCAGACACCTGCGTTTCATGCAGGGAAGTTCTCTGAGAGCACCTTTCCCAATCCCGTCCCCTGGCCTGGCCCAGATCTCACCCCGTCTGTGAAAGCCCCCCTGGTTATCTTTTCCTTGGTGTTCTCTAATCTCTCCTGCAGCCCAATCCCACGGTTCCTGCCACTTCATGGCCTGTCTCTTCCTGGCTTCTCCGTGTACCTCATTGTCCTGTGGCGTTCCTGTCTCCCCTCTTACTGTCCACGGCGCCCGCACGCTGCCTGTTTGTGGTACTCCTCGTACCAAAGGTCTTCCAAAAAGTCATGGAAAATGCAAATGATAAACCATGCATGGGTTCAAAATGGTTTTTACACCACAATAAACTCATGCTTTAATTGGATTTTTCTGGGGCCAGCCGATGGCATGGTGATTAGGCAGCTGGATCCTACTTGGTCAACTGTGTAGTTCAGGTCTCAGGTCTCAGGCCCAGCAGTTTGAAAAACACTCTGGGTGCATGTGTACCCAAAATCCTGAGAGAAGAATGGAGATGGGCTCGCGGGTGCTTTCTTACTCGGCCTGCTCCCGCCCCCATTTCTCTGCTGAGTACACATGCCCTGTAATGTATTTTAAAAAAAATTTTTTAATGAAAAAAAAAATTATAGGTGTTTGCCATAGGGCATGTGCACTTGCTGGAGAGAGAGAGGGATTCCCCCTGGGGGGAACCCCACGCTGCAATCCCTTCTCCTTCATTCTCTTCTTAGGATCTCGGGCACGCACACACGTGTCCAGCATGATGTTCAAGCCACTGGGTTTGGGGTTTAAACCACAGTTGGCCTTGTGGGAGTCTAGCACCACCACGCTACCTGCTGGCCTCTTTCTGTAAATTTTTCAAAGTCCCTTCAAATACAGAATGAATACAAAGAAATAGTTCAAATGATTCAGAAATGGGAACATGAGCACCATGAATGGGTGAGCTGTGAGATACCGCATAGGCAACAAAACCATTCCACTCTGATTTGGGAACAAATGTGAAAAATATATCTGCATTTATTAAGTACAGTATAATACAGGGGTGTGGTAACAGAAAAGCAAACACTAAAATGGATTGATATAAATATGCTAAAACCTTATCGGTTATTAAAATGATACAATTCTCCTCTTCTAAATTTATAAAGAAAAAACCATGTACACTGTACACAAAAGGAACCCCTTCTGAGAGCGGACGAGCAAGAAAGGGGCGAGGAGAGTGGCAGCCGGCAAGGACGGCCTGGAGCCCGTGACCCAGCGGCCGGGCCATCCCGTGTCTGCAGGTGCTGCTGGGCCCTCTCGGGGCTATAAATACATGTTCTATGGCTAACACGGTCCTCCTTCCTGAAGGCTCTCATTATTTTTTAGGATTGAGAATTGCTCTTATCCTCTTCCCACTTCCAAAGCTTCTCAGATTAGGAATTTGATGGAATAGAAGCCTAGGTTTCTTTTGTTTGTTTGTTTGTTTGTTTTTTACCTCCGCTCTAGGGGGTATTATTCCAGGAGGGGTTGATGATCACTTGCGTCTTTCTGTCTGACAGAACACATTCTGCCATCAGACTTTAACCCCCAAAACTTCCCAAACAGAAAGTGCCTGTGAAAATCTATCCTCTTCCCTCTCCTATGGGTTCTCCTCTCACTTCTACAAAAAGTCTGTCTGAAGAAGCACTCGGTCTTCGTGGAACCCGAGGAGGAGGAAGGTAGGCTCTCGTTTGGTTTCAGGGAGCGAAGCCTTCTTGGTCATGGCCGCGTATTGTCTTGAATCCAGTGTAGGTAATTAGTCACCTTGGTGTACACCCCTGGGACGTCCCTCTGCCCGCAGCCGATGCCCCAGCTGATGATGCCAACGAGAGTCATGTGGTTGTCCTGCAGACACACCAGGGGGCCTCCCGAGTCGCCCTGCACACCAGAGAACAGGTTAGCTGTTTGCAAAAAAGGCAGGGTATGTGGGAGGGAGCTGGAGGTGATCCTTGTAGTGTTCTCACTGTGTTCACAGGTCTTAGCTCAGAGAGGGCGTGCTCTGATCTCACTTGTCTGGACCCTCTAGAGGATTCGTTGGCTGTGTCTGCCCTGATAAAGCAGAACTGAGGCCATTGCTCGACGCTCAGACATCCCAGGCCTCTGAAAACCACTACGTGTGGGCTAACTGAGCTTCAGTTTTTTTAACCTGTGAAATAGAGATATACCATCTGCCTCATAAGGTTGTGATGGGAACAAACTGGGAGAACACACGTGCAAACACACAGCATAGGACATCTGGTATAACTCTAGTAATCACTAGCTGCTGCTGTCATATTGAGTCACAATGAGTTTGATTTTATTTTTGGCTTTAAGCATGCAGATCGAGAATGGTTTCAGTTTTTGTGCAGGCTTTTTTTTTTTTTTCTGAAGGTGGGCAAGGTGGTACAGTTGAGGTTTCTGAAGAAACCATAATGGAGATCAAACACTGTCAAGGAACCAAGGGGGAAAACTGCTGATCTGATTACCTTACAAGAAAGCCCTACAGTTCAACTCAAGAACCTGGTCCGATTTCCCTCACATTGGCTCCAGCCTCTACTCCCAGCCCCCAGCCCCCAGCCCCAGGGGAAGCCTGACATGCCATCAGCACTGGAATTCCTTGGCTTTACTCAGGGCTTAAAACCAACAGGCCATATGTGCCCTCTGTCTCTGTATCTTGTTAACCACGGGATAAAAGTACTGCCGTGATAAGGATGCCAATGCCGAAAGCCTACAATGGTTTGCTTCCCAGGGTATCAGAGTTTTGGTTTTTTTAGAGACATTTTTGCTATAGGGCACATGCATTCAGAGAAAGAGAAAATCAGAAAGTGAGAAATCATGTCCTCGGGCATGGCCATGCCACCTCTTCTCCTCCATTCTCCTTTCAGGATTTTGGGCATGCATGCACATGTGCTTGGAGTGAGTTTTAAGCTGCCGACTTCAGGACTTGAACCTCAGTCAATTACCTGAGAGTCCAGTGATGTAACCATCTGCTGATGCTGAGTATCAGAGCTTTTAAAAGAGTTTTTAAAACCCGTTTCTCCCAAATCTTCGGTAGCCTGCTTCCAGCTGTACAGAGAACTGCTTTCCCTCCTCCCCTATTACAAGGCAGCCTCCACTTTTCTAACCCCTACAGGAGTCAGGAATTTGTTGATCGGGTTGCTTTATCCACCATTTCACATCACCCATGAATTGCCTGAGCTCACAGGAAATCCTGTACCAGGTGGGGTTTCCTGTGCAGACTCGGGGACTTTGCTACAGTATAGACCTCTTACATTTAGTGGCTTTGATCTTTCTCCAATACTCAGCTCTCTGAGGCTCTCACCCAGAGCCCCAGGCCTCACTGGTGTAGTCACAGTGCAGGCTGGCTGTGGCCCTTCTCAGCTAAGAACCGGTTAGCCGAGGGCAGTTTCACCCTGGGCACACCCTGCCACACTCACCTGGCAGGCATCGTGCAGGTTCGCATGGTTGCCTCCGCTTCGAGTGTCCCCAGCACACAGCATATTGTCGGTGACGGTCCTGTTGAACAAGTGTTGTGATGTGCAGCGGCTGGCTGGGTACAGTCTGACGTGGGCCTCTTTGAGGCGCTCAGAAAAGGAAGGAGAGGCTGCAAGAGAGAGCAGAGAGCATCCTGCCGTTTCAGGGAAAGTGACTTGGAAACAGCTGGGGAAAACCCACACTTTCTAATCCTACTACCACCCAGCAAGCCTTCACACGTGTTAGACTGACTCCCGTGACGCTGCCCATGTGTGCTGTCCCCACCTACAGAAACGCAGTCTGACAGGGCTGAGTGCAGGGTTTCTCCGGCCCGTGTCCACTGGCTGCTGGCACCAGCCTCCACCCTGAGTTGTAACAACCAGGATGTCTCCAGACATGGCCAAAGTGTGTCCTGGGGGCAAGGTCAGCCCAGTTGAGAAGCACGTGTTTAACCCAGTAGTACTTCATTTATTGCTTATCATTCAGTTAGGCAGCTAATTCCACCTCCAATTCACCAGTGAGGAAACTGAGGCATGGAGCGTGGAAGATGGAAAATTCAGCCCAGGATCCCACAGCTAAACAGGGTACAGACAAACGATCCAAGCTCAGGGCCACACAGCTCCAGTGTCCAAGAGCCCACACCTTCAGCACTGTACTTGGCTTCTCACACAGAACCTTCTGGAAATTGTAAGCGCTTCCGAGCACTGGTACCAGCCAGCCTTTCCTGACTGCGCAGTGGCGTGCGGCGGGGCGCAGTGAGTGGGCTTGCACTGTCGGGAGGCAGGGGCTTGCCCGCATTTGTTCAACCTGGACGCCTGATCTGGGGCTAGCCCCGGCTCTCATGACCACTTGTCCCTGTGTCTGGTCCCTTGGCCTCCCCTTCTGTCCTGCAGACAGACCAGATGGGGCTGAGACTTCCCCCCACTTACCCGCCTCGTGCTTGCCGTAGCCAGACAGCTCGCACTCTGTCCAGGCGGGCAGCTGCAGGCCAGCCTCGGGGAGACAGACGGGGCGGATGGTGCTGCTTTCTCGGGCACAGAGCGATGAGTCGGACCTCAGCTGTAGCAATGCTGCGGGGAGAGCAGAAGAGGTGTGAGGCAGGGACCCGAGGGGTCGGGTGTGCGAGCGTGCAGGTGCAGGTGTGCTGTCGTGTGACCTGGAGTTTGAACTAGAGCAGAAACAATGGGGTCAACTGGTGGCCTGGTGGTTAGGGTGGCTAGATCCCACATGGCTGTGTGGTTCTACCCCTAGACCCGGCAACTTGACAAACGTGCTGGGCGTGCCCCAAATCCTGAGAGCAGACTAACGGGGAGGGGACTGTGGTGTGGCCATCCCCCGCGGCGGGTGCTTTCTCACCTTCCCTCTCTCTCCCCTTCTCTCTCTGGCAAGCGCACACCCTCTATAGCAAATTAAAATAAAAAAGAACTAAAAAAGAAAAGGGCTTCTTACCAATGTCATTGTTGTAAGTGTCGTCATCAAACTCCTTATGGACGATGTATTTTTCAACCTCAAATTTCTGCTCCTCCTCTCCGGGGACCAGGCGATACGTCCTGCCCAAGACCACCTTCAGGTGGTGGGTGGGGAACCTGAAGAAGACACAGCCTGAGAACGGTGTTCGTGCTGTGGGGCTTCCTCTCACGGCCTGGTGTCAGGTCTTTAGGGTGCGGAAAACCTAGAGGGTTCAAAGCCCCTACCTCTCCACAAAGCAGTGGGCGGCGGACAGAACCCAGCAGGAGCTGATGAGCACTCCCCCGCACAGAAACCGCTCTCCTGAAGCCCTCCTGTTCTTGACAAAGATGGCGGCCTGCCAGGGGTGGGAGCTGATGTCCGTGAAGAGTCCTCCTTTGATGCGGAACTGAGGCTGCTTGTACTGTCTCAGGCCACAGGTGGCTGGGAGGGGAAGGACAGGGAAGAGCGATCGGCACTGTGGTTCTGGGCAGAGGTCCCTGAGCACTCCCCATGGTTTTCCCTCCAGACCCCAAGTTCCCACAGGCTTCTGCAGATTAGCAGAGGAGACAGGCCTCTCCATGGTAACCAGAGCTGTGCTGAGGCCATTGCCATGCCCAATACTGTATTAACCCCGCCAACACGGACTCCAGGAAGGCTGAGGACTTTCTGCCCAAGGCCACCGCGGCACCTGGGTTAGAACCCATGTCTATTTGACTCCACTGGGACGTTCTCTGCTGGGTTCATCCTCTCTGATTTGCTCCTGGCCTAAGAGCCAATGAACTACTGCAAGTTCCTTCTGGAGCACTGACCCCACCTCTCCCTCCCCTCCTTGCAGGGCCAGGTGGAACCCTGCCTCCTCAGAGCCTTCAGTAGCCCCCAACTGCGGGGCCCTGACAGGCTCACTGACCCAGCTCTGCAGGACTCGCCACAGAGCACCTCACTGGGAGTGAACTAGGAGCGTGTGTCCTGTCACCTCCCCATGAGACTCTGTTCCTTGAGGAACATTCTGGCTGATCTGTGCCTTCACAGGGACTAACAATCTCGACTTCTAAACTGGAATTTCACTTTTTACTGACAAGCACCAACTTGAGTTTCCTCTCTGTCCCCTGCCCTGCATTAAACGGGTCCAGGGGGACACGGGGGAGAGTTCGTGATGGAAGCAGCCTTCTGGGCAGGCCTAGCTCTGCCAGTCAGCGTCCAGGGGGCTCCAGCCGGCCACGCGGCCTCTGAGAGGTGAACTGGGCAGGAAGACCACCTCCGGCACATTACGGGAGACGCCATGATGCGCCACAGGCATGAGCTCCCATCCCCTCTGGGTATTCACCACTGCTCGTCACTGTCGTCATCAAGAGAGACACGAGAGGGACATTTGGAGCCCGGGGGGGTGGGCACAGCAGCCCAACGACGTTGCCACCCCCCCACCCATGCACACCAAGGCCTGGCCTTCCTGGGGGTCTGGCAGTTACATGCTTTGAACCAGACAGCCGCAGAGACACAGAAGGTGGCAGACATGGCAAGAAAAAGTGAGACAGGGCCAAGGGAGGTGGCCGGGGCAGCCCTTACAGCACTGGGGCAGGTCGCAGTACTCCCACGTCAGCTTGCGGTCCTTCAGCACGTGGCACCAGGGCTTGTCGTCCCCATCCGGGTTCCTAGGTGACACGGGGGGTTAAGGCTTTTGGTCACATTTTCCTCCTCCCTCCTTCTTTTTTAAAATTTGGCTAGAGGATACTTGTGTTTGCGAGAGAGAGATAAACAGAGAGAGAGGGGACAAAGTGCCCCCCGTGGGGAATGGCCATGCCACACTCCCTTCTCCATCTCGTCCTTTTCACAATTTTGGACACACACACACTTGCCGGGTTGGTTTTTTAAACCACCAGGTCCAGGACTTGAACCACTACATTGGCCATGTAGGCTCTAGCTGCCTTAACCACCTGGTCATGGGCTAGCACTCAATCACAATTCTTTTCTTTTGAGAGAGTTTTTTTTGCTATAGAGTGCATGGGCTCGCCAGAGAGACAGAGACAGAAAGCTAGAAATCACCCCCAGTGGGGATGGCCATGCTCCAATCCCTTCTCCATTCTTGAGATTTTGGGCACGCACACACGCACAGGCGACCGGTGCAAGTTTTAGGCCACCAGGTCTGGGACGTGATCCACGGTCCGCTACGTGAGAGTCCTGCGACATAAACATTGCGCCATCCTCTGGTCCCTCGATCACATTTCCAATCAGCTGGCAGGTGGTTCGAGAGTGGGAGGAGACTCCATAAACGGTAGTAAAGACCCTGAGCCGGGAGGGAGGACCTCGAATTTGACCTGACTCTGAAGCAGACCCC